GAGCCGCCTGTCCATCTCACGCTCCATTTTCCCATCACTCGTGAACAAGATCCAGAGATACTTAAACTCCCTCGCTTGAGGGACCAATAAAATTAATTAGACGTATACAGTGATTTAATTTAATCAACTAATCTCCACCCATCCATAACCATAGTATTTATTTATTTATTTATTCATTTAGCATCAAAATCTAACCAATGCTACATACACATATTGCACCTTTAATAAACAATTTCAGTTGCTTGTGCATACACGCCATATTTACGTTTCTCTCTTATCTCTCAACACACAAATGCAACTCTGCAACCACAAATACAAACCCACATTGCCAAGAGCAATTATTCCCGCATCGATGACACAAACCCAGCTAATATTATGCACCTCAGTGCAAACATTTCAATGTCCAAGCACGCAACCAGGAATCAGCAAAGTTCACAGCACGCTACAATCCCGCGTGCAAACTCCATAGCGGCTTAAAGAACAGCCCTCAAATAGAAGTTATCTCTTACCGGCTGCCTCTTCAAAGTTTTCTTGTGGGTACCGGAGTCCACACAGTCAGTGGAAAAACAAGCGTCTCACCTGCTCATCACTCACCCAGCTGCTTTGCCAGCTGCTGCTTATGAGCCTAATGAGGGCTCCAGCCAGAGCGCTCCGGGCGCAAACAAACAACAACAGTTCCACCCTGAGCTGCCGACAAACAGCGCAACACCTCCCACTCGAGCTTCGTGCATTTCTGTAATGAAGGTCGCACAACCTCACACCTACTTGGGATCGTTGGCCTGCTCTTCCACAGGGAGGACGACAACGAGGCACCTGACATCCCTGCAGAGCACCGTACCATTGGGTTTCCCTTCTGGTCCTGAGGTACCGAGCCTCGGGCTGCAGATCTTGCTTGCAGTGCTGCCATGCAGTGTTCTGGTGTAACTAGAACATCCATGTCCCTTACGACACCCTTGCGATCTGGAACTGCAGCGACAACTCTCTCTTCTTGCAGGTCATTCTGGTCACACAGCCACGACATCCCCGACAGCAACGTTCCTCATCACGGTATGCCACTTGCTTCTGATGAAGAGATTGGGGCCAGCAAGCTGGCACCAGGCTCTCCAGAAACTGTTGACTTGGGTCTGGATTTCTTGAAGTCTTTTATAGGGGTAATTCTCAAACCTGAAGGTCTTAAATTCTCCATCTTGAGATTCCCGACCCATCAGTAGAGAATTTGGCGTCACATACCAAATCTTCTTGACTCTGGATCTTTGCATCATTGGGCCGCTTGTTTGCCAGATTACCTGCTAGTTGGAGTGCAGTGAGAAACTCAGTCAAGGTAAGGTGAACAGCTTTACCCAGGCTTTAAAGGGCCCTCTTTGCAGTCCGCACGGCAGCTTCAGCGCCCCGTTACAGTGTGGAGAATCAGCTGGAGAAGTCCATCCAGTGCCATTCTTTGCTGCATACTCCTCCAGGCCTGCAGTATCTTGCGCTTGAAGGAACTTATAGAGGTTCCCGACTACCGGCCTCGCTCCAATGAAGTTGGTCCCAGGATCGGACCAGACTTTGGTAGGCCAAGAGGAAACTCTCAGTGGACATGCTGCTGACCAACTCGATATGGACAGCTCTGTTTGCCATACAACTGAAAATGATTCCCCAAACCTTCATGCTCACCCTTCTTTTCACATCGTCCCTCACCAAGTAGGGTCCAAACATGTGCACTGCAGTAAACTGAAAGGGTGCAGCAGGCCTCATCCTTTCGACGGGTAGGTCGCCCATCACTTGCTGACACGCCTGCGCTCTCGTCTTCCTGAAAAGACAAGTAAGCAGATGTTCCTTAAAGCTGAACCCCCTGCTGGTGGTTTCCAGTACTTCAGGCAGTTTCACTGATTATCAGGAGGTTTTTAGCACNATCTACTCCCATCATAAAACTGCCACCTTGGACAATGTGCAGAACGGGGAAACCCACTCATTCTCAGGAAGAACCACCATTAATGTCACAAAAGAGAATTACAGCAGGAGCCTGTTGTGATCAACTTCGCTGATGGTACTCCACTGGAAAATGGTGATGCAAGCATGGACACTCATGCCTCCTGCCGAGGCATGAAACAACAAATGGGACACTAATACTTTGGAAACAACAACTTCAAAAGCACAATGACTATGATTCTATGGAGACTCTCCCCCACCCTGTGATCCCGGAAGCTGATCAGTCGTAAAACTGGTGCTGTACACCAGTGAGAGAATCTGTAGTGAAGTCTCCTACTTTTACATTTATACGTACACAGGCTAAATAACTGTTTTCCCAATCTCTGTTTGGTGTGTTCATAACTGCATTGATCTCAATAAGAAGCCTTTGTATCACCTATCCAAGAATCACATCTGTAGGTGGTATGAGGACCAAGATAACTTTTTACAGAAATATTCATGCTTCTGTCACGGACCCACAGCGCCACCTAGCAACAGTAAATGGTCTGCTGAGGTCGGGACTACATCACCATTAAAACTCACGTTCCCGCTGATTAAATGCATCAGTGTTTAATTATAGGTATAATCAGTGATGTGGGAGTCAATGCTTCACCCCATGTGTTGTGTTTCCATGTGTTGACGTACATTTCTCATAGGTAACAGTTTATATCACATTCTTATTTGTGTTGCATAGCCTAGGCTATTTCCTATGAGGTATATGTAGGTCACTGCTCTGTTATTTCATGCTCATGGGTCATGGTGAGAGGTGGACTTATTTCGTTTGTGTACATCGTGCATTTTCTTAATTTAAATTCAGAAACGCAGCCTTCTCTCCTGTTCCTAACCAAGAGAGGAGGGTTAAGTTACCAAAAGTCACAGCAAAATCCTCTCCACGCCTCCTATGCACACACCCTCAGGACCGAAGACAATAAAAGTAGGAAAGTGCTTTTCTTCCGGCCTCTTCTCTTTTGCTCTTGCCTTTTTGCCTTTGCCCTTCATGCCCCTCTTCCTTTCTTGTCTTCTTCCCTCTCATTTCTTTTGTTCCGTTTCTTTGTCCGCGTTTCTCTTTCCTCTTTTTATATACCTTCATTTTTGTAGTTTTGACCTCGTTTTATTAAGACAGTGCTCGCCGTCATTTAAATTTCTAATTTACACGCTTGATTCTGCCCAATCAAACCGACAAGAACCAGCAGAAATTACATTTGTTTTTGGAACAGATCAGTTGCACCGCACCTTTGCTCTCAGTTTTCCAAAACCTTTTTTTGTGTTCTTTGGCTAATACCAAACTTTGCTGAAAGCACAACGAGAGCCACCGTTAACAATTAAATAATTTTTTTTCATCAACCCTGAGGAGCGCACACACCGCGCTGGACGCTGCCTACCAACACATCCACCACTGTGTGGCCACATTGAAGTCCGCTGACGGGCCTCCAGCACTGCGCTTCTGAGAGCTCCCCGGCAGAACTCGTTGCCAGGCAACTTCACAACGCTGTGGGAGGAGACAGCCTGGATTCGTTGTGGAGAAAGTGCTCCTGATGGGTTGATGTTGTAGCTATTTAACGGCTCACAAGCGTATCGATCGCAAACCAAACTATTAATCACTACCGTTAGATCGTTCATTAACCATCCTGCTCCCACCATCATCCTCATTATTTTACTGTGTAATCTGATGACATGTCCACTACACACACTCCGATTGCATTGTTTATAGTTCATGTGTATTAGAGTAGTTGAATAGTTAATAAACCTTTTTTATTTAGACCAATTCATGGTTTTGTGTCTTTCTTTGTGTGGGAACTGAGGTCAGTGTAATCAGAGCTGACGGCTTTCAGACAACAGACTGATGACTGTGATTTCAAATAATGTCTCATTTAGATTTCATTTAAAACAATTCTTAAGTAAACTGAGGTGGTGGCCCTCAATCAACTAGTGAAATAGAGCCACAAAGCATAGTTCTAACATACACTACATTAGACCTGAAAGAGGTTCATATATTTACTCAAAACATCCTTTTTGTTGTCTTCTTCTCCACATGATCCACATGTTGTTGGTTTGTTGACATCAAACTAAAACCAGATCAAGTCTGAGACACCAAATATCTGAAACTGGACGTGAACACTTCTTTCCAGATTCCATGTTGATCAGTTCAGTCAAACGCTGGTTGTTTTCATGCACTAAATAAAACTACATCTCTCTTGTTTTGTCTCTTTTTAACTGTTTCTTCCTCTCAGTTGGACAGAAAGCTTCAGGAGGAAACAAGAAAAAGGGAGAAAGCTGAGAAAGAAGTGGAGCCTCTGAAGAAGCAGCAGGAGACCAAGGTTCACTTTATTCAGCTTAAATCCACTTTTATGATTAAATCCTACCTTTACACAGTCAGATCAAGTTTAACCTTCTACTGTGTCAGTTCCTCTTGTGTCACCAATAAACTAGGACCAACCGAGGCAGGAGCTCCAGAAGACCTGAGAGGTTTTCTCTCATTAGTTCTGGTTTTATGACACTTCTTGTGTTAAAGCTCAACTTTCTTCTGTCCTCACAAACACAAACTCAGAGATTCAAGCAGCTCGTAGCTGATCAGACTTGAATGACTGATCTTTGTGTGTTTGTCTCTTTCTCAGCTGGATGGAAGTGAATCTGAAGATCGTCAGATAAAGTTCAGACGACAGAGCAGCAGCAGATCAGATCATCACAGTGGTTTAAGAGACATTATTGTGGATGGAGTTGGCCCACAGGGTCTATGTGTCAGTCTTAAAAACACGTCTACTGAGGTAATGTTTGTCTGGATGAACACTGCAGTGCATTTATAAGCATGTACAATATATTGAACAACACATGAAGCAGGTGGATCCAGAAATATTCCAACAGACCTTCAGAACAATTTAATGTCTGTTTCTAACATCAGAGTCCAGTTTGTCTGGAAGCTGCACATTAAAGGAACCAATGACNTTGGTGTCTCGGTATTATCACACATTTTAGGCCTCATCTCAAACTGACTGTCTGACGTGCTTTGAAATGATTCTTCAGTGCGATTAAAAGTCTTTCACACTTTGTTTCTGCTGCTTTCATTTTGCACAGAAACCAAGAGAAACACGGACAAAACTGAAAACGAAGAAGAGAAGAACTGCTCTCAACCCGAAGCAGTGACGCTGATGTTACTTGAAGACGTTGAAATGCAGGTATTTGGAGATAAAAGATTCAAAAACCCAGCATGTAAGAAACAACAAAAACCACAAGAATCCAGAAAATCAATGAGAGAAATATATTGTGTATCGTTACTAACGTTGCATTTGTATAAAAACAATCAAGCAGATTAATTCAGTAACATTGAGGTTGAACAGATTTCATTAAAACCTTTTCAATATATTTTATATTTAAATACTGTAATTTTCTACTGCAACTCTAAAAAATGATTTTTCTCTTCATCAATGCAAACAAACAGTCTGAATAAATAGAGAAACAAACCTGATGGTTTACTGACATGTTGTCAGATAAAGTGTTTTCCACGTCTGTTCTCTTTGTTCTTCTGGATTTCTGACCGACATGTTCTGCCGAAGCAGCAGCAGCAGCAGAAGGAGATGAAGAAGAGGAAAGCTGAGGATGAAGTGGAATCTTTGAATAAACAGGTTCATCTTTGTATTTCATACATATAACATTTTTTTTCCAGCTCCTAAACTGTCAAAGTTATTCTGACATTCGTGGTTCCTTCAACAGCTCAGAGAACTGGACCTGTAGAGTTTATAGTGGAACAAACACCAAGACAGACGGACTTGATTCTCTGTTTGTCATGAATACATTTCATCCATCACATGGTTCAGTAACAGAACAGATCTCTCTGGTCTCTGATCTCAGGTGGAGGATTTATCAGCTGCGGTCCAGACGCTCAAAGAGGAGAAGAAGAAGAGTGAAGACGAGAAGCAGCAGCTGTTGAAGGAGATAAAGATCAAAGACCAACAGGTTCATCATTAGTTCAGATTGATTCTTGATCCAAAAGCAGAATGTTGTTTGTTTTTAGTGTTAAATCCACATAAATATTGAATCATTTCATGTTTTATATTCTATATGAGTAACGTGTGAACAAACACTCTGCATACAGTTTGTCTTTGTTTGACTGCAGGAAAGGTGGAGAGAAAACAGAGAAACAAATATGTTTACATGACAGTCTTGTGTTTTCAAAGAAGAGAAAAAGACAATAAGATGATCTACTGACACATTCATCTGATGATTGGTAAAAAGCATCGTNATAAAACCAGCAGTTCAGTGGTGCTGCAGTGTGAGTCTGCAGGCTGGTATCCAGAGCCTGAGCTGTTGTGGCTGGACGGTGAGGGAAAGCTCCTCTCTGCTGGACCTCCAGAGACAGTCAGAGGTCCTGATGACCTCTATACTGTCAGCAGCAGAGTGACTGTGGAGAAGAGACACAACAACACCTTCACCTGCAGAGTCCAGCAGAACAACATCAACCAGACCAGGGAGACGCAAATACTGATTCACGTTCCAGGTAAACTTGGTTTATAGGATCTATGATGTGAGCTTTATAATATCCCTGATTCTGCTGAGATGCTACGTATTTCTGTGTTTTATCATTTCAGATGATTTGTCGATACTTCCATCTTTTTCTGCTGTTCCCATCATTGCTGGTTTGGCTGTTGGTTTGGCTGTTTGCATCGTGGTGATTGTAGCATCTGGCTGTTTACTGTGGAGACAAACCAGAACCAGTAAGTCTCAAATGAATTAATATCAGCATGTTGTTAAAGAGCTTTAAAGGAAATCGTGATAATAGAGGCAAAGATCTGAACAATTCTCTGCTTTCATTTTGCACAGAACCCAAAAGAATCAGGGACAAAACTGAAAATGAAGAACAGAAGAACTGCTCTCAAACCGAAGCAGAGACGCTGATGTTACATGAAGACGTTGAAATGCAGGTATTTGGAGATAAAAGATACGAAAACCCAGCATGTAAGAAACAACAAAAACCACAAGAATCAGGAAAAGAAACGAGAGAAACACAGTTTGTATAGCTGATAGTCTTATATTTGACTAAAGACAATTTAGCATTAATAATCTGTAGTTTAGTTCAGCAGCATCGAGGTTGAACAAAGTTTGTTAAAACCTTTTTAATACATTTTATATTTAAATGCAGTCGCGACTTGATAATCCGACACTAAATGTAAAACCTTCTTTATGTCGGATATCAAGACTGTCAGATTGTCAAGACGGAGGTCCAGATACAAGGAGGGCTTTATGCTTGAAGGCTCATTAGTTGTTAATATTTATTGTTTATTATTGTTCTAATAACTAGTGTGTTGTTAGAACACTACGCATCGCTGGATTTCACGCCTAATTGACTGGTGCGTTTGTGTAAATAGATTCAGACAGCAGGCTGAAGTGACCCAAATCAGATTATTATTATTTTTTTTTTTTTGTCCGATGCGACCTGTATCTGATGTTTTCATGACCGTCTAAACAACACAGATCCAATTAATGATGAATATCAGAACATTCGGTGCGGTCGGGACACGACTTCCACCCCGGGGCAGCGCTCTGACGGGGTGGAAGTGTCCAGAACACACAGGCAGTACTTGGCTGCTGATNCCCTCACAGACTGAAGGTTGTGGTTGCAGACTTAGTATTTTATTACACAATTAGGTTGCCTGGCAACAGCCTCAAAACTCAGGTGTTCATGAAAACACTCAAAATGAAACGGAATTTATTCAGTCAGAAACTTATTGTGTTCAACTGTCACAACAATTAAGACCTAAAACAAGTGTAGATGAAGGTCCTTCACTCTGAGAAGTTTATGGTAAAACACTGAATGGCTCCTCTGTAGGCAGAAACTCATCAGCTTCACTACAACATACAATAAACGCACAATGACTCTGATAAGCCGGAGTTGGTCAAGGTTTCCCGTCTGTCAGTGATTTACAGATTTGGCCATAAAGTTTTTTCATTCGATACGTGGCACAACAGGTACGTCGTCTTCTTGATCTAATTTCATGTTTTCAGACTTTAACTGATTGTTTTCAAAGTGTTTCTGCTTTCAGAACTGACATCTGTGTTTATGAAAGCGACATTGTTCAGTCTGTTGTTTTATTTTTCTTTATGCAACTGGAAAAGCTGGAAAAGTTGCTGGACAGTGTTGATCTGGTCCTTATCAAAGCTTGACTGAAATCAGATTCAATCGAACGTATTTTTTGCTCCTTTGAACAGTAAACTCTTGTTTTCGCTGATGTGAATGTATAACACTATCTGCATTTCACTTATGTTCGGATAGATACTAAACTCACAACAGACTGTTTAAAAGTGAAAGTAAAATATTAGCATGTTTGTTCAGAGTCTCTTGCAGACGAAGACGTTTGAATTCAAACAGGTGAACAAAGGGAAGTGTATGAGTTATGATGTGAAATGGAGAAATGCTGCTTTGGATTGTTTATTTGAAGATTAGATGTTACTCAAGATGCTAAACCAATGAAATTAATAAATAAATGAATATTCATGTTCAGCAGGAACACCGTAGCTTATCTTGAGTAGCCATTCGTCACATTTCAGAATTAAAAGGATGTAAGAAAAATTCAGTTTGCACCATCAAAGTGCTTCAAACAGAAAATGGGTTCAACACTTTAGTCTTTTTGTTATTTCTTCACATCTGTTGTTTAATTTGTAATTATTTAAGCTTGTGTGGTCGATTCAGCATTTCAGTTCTGTCTGACAATAGAAAAAAGAAAAGTCTTATTATTCTAGTCTTCCACTTTTGTGCTTGATGCTTAGATTTGGACGGTACCATTGGTGTCCATGACCTTATTTTTGTTCAACACTAAAGCTGTGACGCAACAATGCAACACCAACACTTAAAAATTAGACCTCATTCTCCATTTATTAAGTTATCAAATGAAGTCGGAAATGAAAATTTCGAGTCCATTCTTTGGGCGTATTTTTTATGGCACATAGCTTCAATAAGCCGTATTATTTGAAACACAAACGTGTCCGTTTGCCTTTAACATCAACCCAAAACCAACAGTTTCTGATACTTTATGATCTGCTTCAATTTCAGAACTTTAATCCTCAGATGGACGGACTGTTTGTTAAAGCTCCACTCAGAACCATCGCTGGTTTGGTTTTTAACATTCTCCTGGTTCACGTCTGTGAAGGTAATTTAGACATAAATACAACCTCAAAAGGTTTAATATTAAACTATAGCGGTTACAACAATTTAGGAAGCTGTCATCTGATGTTTATTCTCATCACAATAATCTATCTGACATGAGTTTAGCATGAACCAGTAAAATCTCTTTCTGGACTCTGACTGAAGTGCACATTTCATTTATTTTGGAAAGGTTCTGTGGAATTAAAACAGTATTTTTGGTGTAGATTACAAATGAAAATATCTTTTTCACTGCAGGTCAGTCTCAGTTAGTTGGTCCACGTGAGCCAATCGTTGCCAGAGTTGGCGATGACGTTGTTTTGCCGTGTCACCTGAACCCTGCAGTGGACGTATTCGAGAAGACGTTGGAGTGGTCGAGGTCGGACCAGACCGGCATGCTGGTCTACGTGTGGCGTTCTCGTCACGAGTTCGAACAGGCCAAACATCCGTCCTACAAAGGACGAACATCGCTGTTCGCCGACCAGCTGAGACACGGAAACATTTCACTGAAGCTGTCCAACCTGAAGCTCTCTGACAAAGGAACCTACAGGTGTTTCATCGTAGAAGACAACAAACGGATTTTCACACAACTTGTTGTTGGTAAGTGAACAGACAGTCGGTGACTCAAAGTGTCCCAATTGGTCTCTACACATTTTTAGAAAACATTTTTGAATTGTTACAGATGTCATAACAATCATTACCAGCACAAGTTTTAAAATTTGAAAAAAAATTAAAATCAGTTACTACAACTGCATTTTCTTGAGTATTTTTTAATTATTATTATTTTTCACACTTTTGTCCACGTAGAAGCTCTAAAGAAGTTGGTTGACTCAACAGCATAACAGTTAATTGTTAACGACAAACAATTAAATTGCCCCCAAAATTAAAAGTTTTAGCTTGAGTTTTTTTTTTTTTTTTTTTAATTAATTATCCAAATGTTTAGTTAGTTCATTATGCCACTTCAACTTGAATTTAAAATCCACTGCCACAGAAACCTGAGTATAAATTGC